AAATATGAGCAGCACCTGACATTTATAAGTGGCTAGTCTCAATTTTACAGAATTATAATATTTTTGAGTTCATATTTATTTCCAAGTCTCCAGCATATTATATTTGACTCATAAGTCAGGCTCCTGTGATACAGTATGAGCTCTGATTTGTTTAACAGCTATTTCTGTCTCTCTTTTGGTTCATGTTCTCCATCTTGTCTGCCTTTTTGCCTAAATTTTCTTTCATTTTATGCTCTTCCACATATTCAATTGTCTGGCATTGTGAGAATTCCATACTTTCATGAATATTGTCAACCAATGTGACTGCTTGCAAAAGTGACAATGGTAACATGTGATTAGTTACAAACAGCATCATTTTCTTTTATCAATTTTTTGAAAATTTAAAGAAAATTTTAAAGTTAAAGACATCTCATGTAAAATTAGTATACACAACACTCCACATAGAATGATATTAAAGACTTTCAGATGATTTTCTAAAGATTTACATATAAATGAGGCCTGAGTATGATGTGTCCATTCATACTATGCCCTGGCATAGTATGTACATATTTCATACATACATGCATACATACAGACTTACATACATATTTCATGAAATGTACATATTTCTAAAGATTTATTATTCACTTTAACTATGTGTGTGTCTGTGTGGGGGTATGTGCAGATGAGCGCACAGGTGACTGTGGAGGCCAGGAAAGTGTGTCAGGTCCCCAGGAGCTGAAGTGACAGGCAGTTGTGACTACTGGGAACTGAATCTGGATCTTCTTAAACTCCTGAGCCATCTCTTCAGGCTTCTAAGCATTATTGACTTAGCGTCTTGAGTCTGTCAATAAAACAGGCTGTTGAAGAAGCCACTGTCTCTTAGAAAGGCTGTTGCTGTCCTACTTGACTCCACAATGCCACGGCATGTTCCACTTCAGGCAGCTCTGGCAGCTCATCTCTCAGTAGAGCTCTTTGACATATATACTTATTTAAAACAGTAACCTTTAATTTCTCTACAACAAAGGCACACGTGCTATTGCTAATATCTTGATATTTCTTCAAATACAAATATTAGGACAGATCTGGAAATATTCAGCAAATCATTGTTTAAATCCTAACATTTTTAGGTTAATTTTTTAAGGATAATAGTGCTTTCAGATGTCATATAAGTGTTATAGAACACACTGTCGTTTTGATGAACTTTATGAACATTTCACAATTAGATCA